TAACTTAAACTTTTTACTTAAATAAGACCGTTTTGTAAAGGCACTTTTATAAAATTGTTTTAAAAAGCTTACTGCTTTTCAATTTACTGTAAATTCTAGCAGTTTTTGAATTCTTTAGTAGTTTGCTAGCATACCTTATTCGAACAGTTATCCAATTTTGGCTTTTGAATTTGACAAGTTTAGGTACCCGTCAGGTACCATTTGAGGCAATCTCAGTTGGCAAAAAAATTGGATCTGGTGGTCAGGGCGCAGTATACAAAGGCTTATTTGAAGGAAAACCAGTTGCCCTGAAAAAGTTCTCGAAGAATGAACAAATAAAAACCTGTCTCTTTTTTTTGGACCACCACAATCCTGTCAAATTTTTGTGAGTTGTCTACATTTACCATTTCGGTTGCCTAGTGCTCAAAAATGACTTGTTTTGAAGGTACCAATACTGCTCAATGTCGTTGTTTGCTCAATCTAAGTAGTAGCTCTTTGTGAAATATTTCAACTATCAGGTCCAATTCAGTTCTAATGGTTTCATGAAAGCTGTCTGTAATTGCTTTAACTTGAATTTCTAAGGCACCACGCAGGACTTTTCAGCGGAGTATCTTATCCCCAGTTGAGTTTTGCTGTTTTAATGGAGTACTGCGAAAAAGGCTCATTAGGTGATCGGATTCATAAGAATAACCCAATTATAAAACAAGCAGAAATTTATGACTGTTAACTCAAATTGCTGATGGAATGCGTTATTTGCACTCAAAGAAAATCATTCATTGAGATCTAAAGCCTTTCAAATGAGCATAAAGTTTCAAAACTGTAATCTGATTAGAAAGTTTCCCGAGAGCATTTTAACATTTTAGTATACTTTTCGCTGAAGATGGCGAAATAAAAATTTGCGATTTTGACTTGCTTAAAGAATGGGAAGGATTGAAAGTTTGAACAATGACGTACTGCGGTACAAATTTTTATATGGCCCCCGAAATGTCTGAAGACGACCGAGGAGGTTTTGAGTGCATTTATCATTTAGAATTTGCTTGAGCTTTTACTGGATTTTGTCGTCTAAAGGGATAAGTAGTACCTTCTGTCTGAGTTTGAAAAGGAAGACTGCTGCTGCATTGTAGATGGATGTGTGGAGTTTTGCAGTGATAACTTGGGAAATTCTAAGAAGAGTAAAACCTTATAAAGGGTTGATTATGCGTCAGGTTTCTGAAGGATTAGACTCCGAGTTTGGCCCTAAAAGATTATTCCTCCTTTTTTTCGCTACGAAGCCAACACGTTTCATCTTAATTTTATTAGTAAAAACTTAGAAAGTAATGGGTTTTTTTGAGCAGCTGATTTGCGTTCAATCTTAAAATCTTCAAGTTTTTCATTTTTGTTTAG